CCTGAGGGTGAGGGAGATGTGGCTGTGGACAGAGACCTGAACGATGGTGACCCTGATGACTCCAAAGATATCCACCTAACACTCATGGAGGAGGTGCTGCTCCTAGGGCTGAAGGAGAAGGAGGTAAGACTGGCATCTCTGACAGCAGCGTGTGCAGCGCTGGCACCAGGAGGCTCTTGGTGAAAGGCAGAAGGATCCTGTGAGTTCCCCTGAATCCTCTTCGACAGAGCCAGCCTGCTTTGCACAGATCACCTGTGTCTGTAGCTTAAACTGAGCTGTGGTGGAGGTTGCTTGCAGGTGCTGCCCCATCAGCTCTGCCACAGGGACTGTAAGAAGTGGCTGTGGTGCCTGTGGTGCTGTGAGACTGCTGGTTGCAGAGCAAAGGGGGTTTGTTCTTTGCTGGGGTCAAAGACATGGGGTAAAAGGAGCCTCGCCTTTTGCATCATATGGTAAATGTTTTCTTCCCTGGTCCCTGTAAACTTGAAACCATCAGCTGAGACACGGGGATACTGAGCACTGTTTCTATTTTGTTAAGAATGTGTGTGAAAAGAGGCAAGGGCAGGTTTTAAGGGGAGGGAGCTGGACTGGGAGTTGAGAGCAGGTGCAGGATGGGTCTGAACACAGCAATGGCAAAGAGGGGAGGAGGCATCTCTCTTTTCAGGCTGGTTATTTCAGGTAGGAATGGTGGTGTGCAGCTCCAGGCTTGAGGGGAGTGGGGCTGAGTAAGAATCCCTTTGCTGGGCACTTGTCTGGTCATGCTGATTTAATGGCTTTCCTTGGCAGCTGGATGAACTTCGCAGGTGGTTATTTTCAGGGGATTGTTCTCTTCTGGAAAGGACCCTGGTCACTCTGAGTTGTTGTGTGCTTATCAGCTGGTAGGAACTTGTTTCTCAGCTCTGCCTAGAATGAGCTGTGGAGAAAGGAGAAGACCTCTGGCATGGAGTTCACCGAGTTGCTTGGCCCTTACCTGCTGTGTCAGCATGCCTTGGCTTCTTCAGTTCTTCATCATGACCTCTTTGGGGGCACCTGGTGCTGCTATTCCTGTCAAGCAGATTGGGAAATTGAGACCAGAGGAAGCTAACCAGTTGCCCAAGGTGATTCCTTGGGATGATAATGGTAGAGGAGAGCCTGATACGTGGGTTTTCAGCTCCAGGAGCACTTGCCCTGTGAGTCTGTCTCCCACCCTGAGCAAAGGAGGCACTGTAGTTGTCAGAGCTATGGCTGGTGTGCTACCTTCTCCTCACCTGTTTCTCTGGGTTGGAATTAAGCACCTATGAGGTGCCTGAACTTCTCTTTTTGTAGGGCCCTGCTGCTGCTGAGTTAGTCTGGGTTGGTGCCTTGTTCTCATGTAGACCTGCTGGGGTTGTGGCTTCTGACCTGGACCACACTTTCAGATCTCAGAACCAGCTGCTGGTTGTGTGAGTGACAGAGGCTTATAGCTGTCCTGTTTGATGAACCCAGATGAGGTCTAGGACTTGCTGAGCCAAACAGGAAGTAACAGGACAGTAGGGCTATAAATGCAAATAATTTTGGAGCAAATACTTGAGAGCAGCCTCAGAGGGTGGCATGGTCTGCTTTCTTCCTGGGCTATGACTAGTATTCTTGGCTTGGTTAATGCAGTCCTGGGGATGGTTCTTCAGCCACCAGGAAATTAGGAGAGCACAAGAGATAAAAAAAATCTTGTCACGTTTTCCCCACCATCTCCCCCCACTACCATCCTGTCCTTCTGCATTCCTCCATCTCAAAAGGGAGACCAGAGCCTAGTGAGCTGGGCTCCCAGGCATTGGGGTTTCCCAGCTCTGTTATTCACTCATGGTTTGATGATTGGAAAAAGAACCAAGACAATTTTAGCCAAATCCAATGAGCTTACAGTGTCATTTCATTATTTTAGGTACCAGTTTGTCCATCTCGATGAAACTGGGCATGCCAGCTTGGCATTTGTAGCCAGTCTGATTCCAGAAGCTCAAAGTAACCCAGGAGCTTTTGACTTGTTTGATTTCAGATCCCTTAAAATTTTTGAGAGGTAATGTGCTTTCCAGCCCAGTGAATTGAAACTCTTCGTCACCTCCACACCCTTGTAGGGACAACTTGTTCCTTAAGGGCACTTGAGAAAACTGGTGTGTCTCCCGAGGATGGAAATTGGCAGGACAGGGATGAAAGGTTTCTTTGTCTTTCCTTACCAGGAAATAAAAAAAGCAAATAAAGATTGTAAGTTTCTTTTATGGCTCCCTGTGCTATGCAAGTTGAGCAGCCTGGTGACCAGATGCACTGTACAAACAGACATGCTGGACACGAGTGTTTACCCGTAGGGACTGTAAAAACTTCCACAGAGGAGGGCTGTGTGTTCCCAGACTCTTTTCTCTGTGGAAAGGGGCATGTTAAGTTGCTTTGTCTGCAGTCTCTTGGTAGCTGTTAGACTTACCCTTTCTCTCCTCCCCTCCACTTTCTCCAAAGGAAAAGAGCAGTAAAAAGGGAATCACACATGGGCCACAGTGTTTCTGGTGTGTTGGTGACCCCCTGCAAATCAGGATGTTGTGACTTTGCATCCTGCTTGGCTCACCCTTCCCTTGGGCTCATCTTGAGCTGTGGCATCTGCCCCGTTCCCAGCCCCACTGCCCTGGAATCCCAGGGCTGTGCACTGTGCTGCAGCCAGAGGGGCAGAACAACCAGGCTTTGTTCTAATGGGGGATAAAAGATGAGTGGAAGAAGGGAATGGAGAGACGGCCTGGGCTGTCTTGTTACTTCAAACCAGGGTCAGCTCTCTCTTGAGGAGCATCAGCTGAATGTTTTTCAACCTCAAGGGACAGACTTCCCTTCCCTGCCTGCTCTGTCCAGGGGCAAACCATTCCTGGGCTTTCTTGTCTGGATGGTTATTTCTTCCTGATACCAGCTCCAATCTCCCTGGCTACATCTTAGACCAGAACTCTGTCCCATGCACAGTGGAGGTGGGAACTGGCTACTCCCTTTTTGCTGCTGCCTTTCATGTGTGTGACACCCCTAATCCTGTTCTCCCTTCTTCCCTTCTGGTCTCTTCTGAACCAAAAACCCTGATTCAGTTGCTAGTTCCTTGTGAGTCATATTTTCCAGACCTCTGCACCTTCTTGTTGCTTTATCAAATGCCAAATGGTTTTGGATCTTACTCATCTTGGGACAAGGACCCTGTCCCGTGGTTGGCTTAGAGAACAGGGCTTGGAGCCAGGTGTGGAATGTGCTGGATCTGAGCAGATCTGGGCACCAGCAGCCCCACCTTGCTGGTGGGACCCAAACTACTGTCCTCCAGCCTAAGGTGCTTGCTCCAGGGAGACACATGGGGTGTGTTTTTCTGCCCTTCATCCCTGACTGGAAATCTCTTTCCTCACAGAAGTCTGTGGGTGGATTTGAGGGGGGCTAGGAGAGGTGGGCAACGGGCTGGGAAAGCTCTGTTGCCCTCGTTGGGAGCTGGGGCTTGCTGCAGCTTCTGCCCAGTGGGACAGTGCTGTGGGTAGCACAGAAACTCTCCCTCACTGACCGCCTGACAAGCAGTTTCTTTGTGCAGCTGGAGCTGGTAGGGGCTTTCTTCAAGGAGAAAAGCAGGTTTCATGTCTGCAGGTGGTGCTCATGTCGCTGGTTGCAGTCCCCCAGCAGCAGCAATGTCCTGCTGTGGCCAGGAGCTTGGTGGGGGAAAGGGTCCTGCTTTTCTTGTTGTTGCTGGGACTTTGGATGATCTGGGGTTGGGTGCAGCTGCCTGGCCAGTGCTGGGGTGTGCTGGGTGGTTGTGGACACAGCAGGAAGGGCACAGCCTGAGTTGTGCAATGTTTACCGGGAGGTTTTGGGCAGGGAAGGGGTTCCCTGGTGCTTTTCACCTGGTGGAGAAAGCCCTTTTCTCCCTTGGCTTGGGAAGCAGAGCTGTTGGTAGGTTGGGAGAGTCCCTTGGGCAGGGCTCCAGGAGGGGTTTCTGCATCTCTTCCCTTTCCATCCACCCATCCTCTCAATCCCAGGGCTACACCTCCTTCTGGAATGACTGCATCTCCTCGGGCCTGCGGGGCGGCATCCTCATCGAGCTGGCTCTGCGCGGCCGCATCCGCCTGGAGCCACTCTCTGTCAGGAAGAAGAGGCTGCTGGAGAGAAAGGTGAAAGGGCCACTGGAGCTGGGCTGGGGCTGGACAGGCTCTGGGCTCCATCTGAGCTGTGCTGAAGCCGTGCTGCATTCCAGGGCTGGCACCGTTCCTTGAGGAAGGGAGTGGCATGTCCGTGTCCAGCCTTATGCCACGTTTCTGCTTTGTCCTCCCAGGTGCTCCTGAGCTCAGATGCACCGACTGGTGACGTCTTGCTGGATGAGACCCTCCGACACATCAAAGCCACAGAACCTGCAGAAACGGTGCAAACCTGGATAGAGCTGCTCACTGGTAGGGCCAGTTAGAGATGCCATCTGCCCCTGGTGTTCTCGGGGCCTGTCCCAGCTGCCTGTCCCCTTGCCATGGCTTGGCCATCCCCTTGCTTCACTGGAGATGTGCTGAATACTGCCAGTAGAACAGGGCAGGGCTGCATGTGGGGGCAGAGAACAGCTTTCTGGGTCTTTTTTTGTTGGGAGTTTGGTGGAAGACAGACCTCGCTTCCCATTGCCTCTTTTTTTTGTGCCAAGTCTTCCATGAGGCTGAGGTCCAAGGTGTGTGGTAGAAGGGACTTTCCAAAGGGGTCTCCCCCAGGCTGCTGCACCCTGTGGCTGCTGGGAGCTTCACCAGCTCAGCTTGATGGGAGAGATGGGTTAGGCCAAGGGGAGGAAGAGGGTTCCTGCAGCAGGGACTGGTGTCTGTGTGAGCACCAATGGTCCTGGACTGGAAGGCACTGGGGTTGGCTGGCAAAGCTGTCTCTTCCCTGGTGTTGAACGGGGTTTCCTTTGCTGCAGGGGAGACCTGGAACCCCTTCAAGCTGCAGTACCAGCTAAGGAATGTGCGTGAGCGCATTGCCAAGGCACTGGTGGAGAAGGGCATCCTCACCACGGAGAAACAGAACTTCCTGCTCTTCGACATGACCACCCACCCTGTCAGCGACATCACTGAGAAGCAGCGCTTGGTCAAGAAGCTCCAGGAGAGCCTGCTGGAGCGATGGGTGAATGACCCACACCGCATGGACCGCAGGACTCTAGCTCTCCTGGTGCTGGCCCACTCTTCTGATGTGCTGGAGAACGTTTTCGCCAGCCTGGCTGATGACAAGTACAGTGTGGCAATGAACAGGACCAAGGACCTCCTTGATATGGACCCCGAGGTGGAAGCTGCCAAAGCCAGGGGTGCAGAGATGATCTGGGCTGTCCTGGCAGCCTTCAACAAGTCCTAGAAAGTCCCTGAACCCCCTCAAAGGAGATGGGGGAGCCTCAACCCCTTGACACAAGGCTGCAGGAACTTGGGTATGGAGTTCCTGCAGCAGCAGGTGGGCTCAGCTCAGGGGACCAAGGGGTTTTGCTCTTCCCCCAAGCATGAGTGAGGGTGACAGCCCACCTGCATGGGCAGGTCATGCACTCCCCAAAAGGCTGGTGCCTCCAGAGAGAGGTGGCAGCAGCTCTTCCTTCCCCTTCCAGCACTCCATGGTCCATGGGCTTCCTTCTCAAGCCAGTGCAGTGCTGGGAGGTGCCAGCACCCAGCCCTGCAGGCAGGACCTGAACTGCTCCCATGAGCCAAACCCTGCCAGAAAGGGGGCTGCAGAGCTCCTGGCGTGTCGGGCTGCTTCCATGGCTCCCTCTTCCAAACATGGGTCTTGCCTTTGAGGTGCCTGGGCAGTGGGTTCCCTATGGAGCACTCTGACAAGCCCCTGGGACGAGGTGGGCAGAGGAGTAGGCAGGAAGCCAGTTCAGGGGTGTCGGGGGGGGCTGGGACCACCCCATGCACCGGCCAGGGCAGCCCAGAGCCCTAGGCCCAGGTCACCAGGTGACCGGCAAAGATGAGGCCCCCACATGAGCCTGTGCCACCCCAGCTCTTTCCCCATTGCACACCTGTTCTTTCTAGTATGAAGAAAAGCTAAACTATGATTTTTTATTTTTTTTAACTTTGTTCTACCCTCGATCCCCTGTTGTCCATTTAAACGTGTTTCTCTGCAGCCTGAGGTAGTCGGGGTCTGTCAATCTGTTCTGTTTAGGAACACGCTTTAAGTGCTGACCTGGACAGAGTTGGGTTATGGTTGGACTCGGTGATCTTAAAGGTCTTTTCCAACCAGAACGATTCT